TCCAACCCAATAATATCTGATCCAAACAAATTCAATTGTGGGCTAAGTAACCAACGGGGCTGGCTCAGTTGGTACACACCCGATGATTCGAACCCAGCTGCCATCAGAAGAACAGAATAAAATAATTCTGAATTACTTCCCTGGGGCGGGTCAACTCAATGATGATATCTATCTCAAGGCCGTCGCCCTTTAAAACACCAGTACTTGGGCCAGCTATTAATTGGGGCCACGGACAAAAATGGAGTAGAACGTTTCTAGTTGGATGAATTTGGGCGCTCCTGTAGTGGCCCGTACGTTTCCTTCTTGCAGAAGTCAGACAAATGCTGAAATTGACGGAAATTTTATACTGGAATTATGCTAGAATTGCATAAGAAACTGAAAACTTAACGTTGAAATAGCGCAAAATAGCGAAAAGAGTTTGAAGAAACTTGAGCTCGAAATGCTGAAATCGCCGACGAATAGGATGGGGTGGGTACCTTTTCCACTACGACCTACCGCCCAGTATCTGGTTATCAGGTTACCTCTTCCCTACCTGTCCTCGTACAGCCTCCGTACCTAGGCTACCGGAGTGGCCTGGGTCCACTTGCCCGGCCGGGCCAAAAAGATATATTGAAAAAATAAAAAACTAAAAATTATTTTTAATTAAAATTGTTATTTTAACATTGATGTAACGTAATGTTACATAGTAGAGGCGTTCGGAAGAACGTAAGAGCATATCCAACACTTGGGGATTTTGGGACTAAGCTCATAAATTTTCTACAAGCAATTTCTTCTGAAAGAATTCCTAAAAAAACTATGTTAACATTGATGTAACGTAATGTCACCTTCTATGACCCTGATGCAAAAGTTGCTCCGTTTATTTTTCTGCATAACATAGTTTTTTGAGTTTTTTTTTTTTTTTTTTTTTTTGCTGGGACCTCCCCTTGTCCTTGCACGGCCCGGCCGGAGGAACAAGAGAGAGTGAACCCAAGGCGTCACAGCGACCGAGAGCACACCACACTTCACATGCAAGCATCAGAGCGTAGACGTTTCATCGGCCCAAAGCCCAGAGAGGGCCAGTCATTACAATGAAAGTAGTAAGCACACCGCCATCAGCATCCCTTCCGCCACTCCACTCTCCTCGATACTACCGGCATTAAGCCGTCAGCATCCCCGCCACCTACCACTCTCCTCTATACTACCGGCGTTCTGGCGATTCCCCGAGAGCCCTTTCTGTCGGCGCCAGAGCCGACGTCGTCAGGGGGCAGGCACCTCCTTGGTTGAGTGGACGACGGTCAACCATAAATACGGTTGCCGCCTTCTGAAAATAGTACAAACTGGTCCCTTACCCCATCCAATTCTCTTAATTTCCAAGACCCTTTCCTTCTGTTTGCTAGGTCAGGACCCGGTACCCTTCCCAGTCCCTTGCCTTTCTGTCAATGAATTTCCCCAGGGTACCGGTAAAAAACTCACTCGGGTACCTTAATAACCGCAGCTCCCTACTCAATGTTAGCAGCGGCATCTCCGCAAGTTCCACAGTCGTTGATAGGGCACTATTAATCACGGCCTTTTTCTGCTTTTTGTCGGCATAGGACCCAAAACTTTGCAACGACCGATAGCAGTACCCTTCTGACCATACGTTCTCTTCATTCTTGGCTTTGTACCTGATCTCCACTCGATTCGGAGATAGACAGACCCTCAACTCACAACCTAAAAAAGTCCAAGTCCCTTCGCGTGAATCAGTTCTAACCAACTGCAAGTTCGGGTCATAGATATCTGCCAACTTCCCAATGACTCCTTTCGCCCTCTCTTCCCCCTGCCTTGAATTTCCTGCCCACACAAAAATTGACAAATCGTCTACTAGTCTAATACCCCTCACCAAATTCCGATCCCTCCCCAGAGTCCCCAGAAAGCATGCTTCGTTGAAGATACACAGCAGGCATGCTAACGGAGGACTACTACTCTTTCCCGTTGGCACCCCCATTGTTTGCTTCAGAATTCTTCCCCCAGCAATCAGGTACGTATGATCCAATTCAAATTTAACAAACTTCTCAATTTGGTGCAAACTGATGAACACCCACTCATTACTTTGTTGTTTGGCGAAGGACACTCCCTTTCCCCTCTTCTTCACGTACACCCCCTCCCTTCCTTTCCGCCTCGTCATTCCCGTCAGCCATCTTACTGCCTCCAGAATGGAACCGTGCGGCAACTCATTAAACATTTCCTTAATGTCAAATGACAATCCCTTAATCTGTCCATTATTCCCTTTCGATTGTGCCCATTTTGTAACCTTTTCCAGCCTTCCTTTGAGGTCGCCTGTCGATCGTAGGTTGAAGTTGCAGGCTGGGGGTAACAGCAGCATTAGCCCATTCAATGCCCTCGCTACGCGTCTCCCAGCTGTTTTTGAAGGCTCACTGAACGACGGGGTGATAGGTCTGAATTTCCGCACGTCCTTATTTTTTGGAACAACGTAAGCCTTCCCCAACCTCCCTTTTCCCTCCCATCTTCCAACTTCCTCAAGCTTCCTTACATTCAGCGATAACCTCCTCTTCCCCCTTCGATACGGCTTAAGTTTGCCTTTCCCCAGAACATGTCCTGCATCCCTTCAGCGTAAACTTTTGGGCACAGAATCAGAGTTTCAGCTGGGATTTTATCCAAAGGCACCCTCACAAAGTTGACCAACAGCTTCTTCCATACTTTGACATCCACTCCACCTTCCTCTTTTCTTCCTTTCTCTTCCTGTCCCATTACACTCATCACTTCTCCTACGGTTACCCACTGCGTCAATCCATATTTCACAAAGCAATCGTTTATTTCCCTCGTAACCCCCTTTACCAAGTCCATTCCCTCCTTCCTTACATAGTCCTTTGCATTTAGTAAAACCAGGGGAGCGTCATTAACCGAGATGAGTTTGCAAGTCACGTGTCCTTCCACTTTCGGAAGGTCCGAGTCCACACAGGGGCAGACGCCTACCACGTTCCACGCAGCGGTTCTGTGGTTATGCAGAATCTGACCGACCGTCTGGTTTCGTTTCCAAACGGTCCTCAGACGTCCACAGATAAGCTTGCTTACACAGTCAGGAAACTGCTCTTTCACCCTCTCTTTTACCAAACTCCTTATCTTACTCTTTACAATCCCTCTATTATAGGTAACCCCGATCACTATCCTCCTCCTAATTTTAATCCCAAACTTTTTAGAAATCACTCCATCCAGAATACCTTTGACTTTCTTGCGGGTTGCCTTCTTGCTGAATGTCCGAGCGGTCTGAAAGAGCCGAACCAGTTCGTCCGAAGACATCCTAAACAAGTTTTTGATCGTCCATGGTACTGACAGCAAATGAATCGGAGTTTTCTTATCCGTAGTCAGTCCGAATTTTCCCTTTACGACCTTTATCACTTGGAACCTCCCTCCCTGCTGGATCTCCTTTTTGCATTCTTTAAGAAGTTTCACCCTCCCTTTTTCCCGAACCACCGTCTCACCAAACCGTCTCCGAATCACCGACCATTTCGTAACCCACAACGAACCCTTTCTCGACAAAAAATCCCTACACCCACTACTTAGCAAACTACCCAAATCACAAAATTCCCGTCCGTTGGCTTGAAATTTCACAATTCCTAATGTCCCCTGCCTCCCTCCCTTTTTCCTTGCCCTTCTTCCTTTCCGATTCTTCTTCGTCCCCGCCTTCTTCTTTCCCCGACTATTCAAGATCGGCGACCATCTACCGATACACATCTCCTCGATTTTAACCAATTCATCCTTCTCAGCAAAAACAAGGGGCATTGCTATGTATGAATTCCATCCAAATTTGCCTAACCATCTATAGAACTTATTTCCTACACCATTCGAACTCAGATTCCCGACATGTTCACGCCACCTGGTCCGTAGTTCCCGTTCTGTCTTCCCAATATAAAATTTTCGGCAGAAGGGACTGAAGATCAGATAAACACACGAACGCGCTTCCAGCCATCCTTGCGGAGCCTTATCAAAACATTCAAAGACCACGTCACGGAATTTTTCGGCAAATCCAATCCCCTTACAGGCTAATAAAAACAGTGAAAGCAACGCACCCAAGTTATCAACAATCCTCACTATCTTCTTAAATCGCTTATCAGCCCCTAGCTTACCCCTAATATCGTAGATTTCCTGTATTTCCATGCCCTATACTTGTTCAATCCCCCCCTCCCGTTCCCGTTCACGTTCTAGTTCGGGTACAGCATCCGCATCCCCCGTCGGGGCCCTATCAGTCGGGCCTGCGGTTGACCTTACCCTAGGTGCTCGCACCCCTATTCGAGGTACATGCGTTTCAAAGATACTCTGCATGATGCGTAGCTCCGCCAACTCTTCAACTGCCTCGTCTTTCTTTCCTCTCCAGACGATCCCCTCCTTCTTGCAGAGCGTTTTCAGCTCTGGGCAGTGCTTCTTTGCGATGTACTTCACCATTGCGATCTTGAAGCCAGTCCTGCTCTCGAAGTCTGCCGAACAAGGCACACCGCTCCAAGGATAAGTTATCAGTACCGTGTCTTTCTTGGGTCGCCCTCTTCCCTTCCTCTCCGGTTCGACTGGTGAGGCCATCGGGAACACCGGCTGTTGTGTGCCGCTTCCTCTTGCCGCTTTCGGCGGTGTCTCCGTCGGTGGGCTCCCTTGCGAAGGTTCGCCTCTCTCCTGTGTTCGCTTCCTCCCTCTGACGTTAGTACTCCCTTCCCGTTCCTCATCCTCCTCTACCTCTTCCTCTTCATTAGGCCATTGTTCCCATTCCTACTCAGCGTCCTCTACGACCTTTTTCCCTTTCACCATGTCATGTATTTCCTCGTTGACCGCTTTTTTGACTTCCTGTTTCAGGAACAGTCTCTGTTCCCCGAACAACTTCCTAATGCCCCACAGTCGATCCGCTTCTTTCTTCTCCTCCTCTTGCTTCTTTGCTAATTCTACTCGCTTCGCTTCTTCTTTCTCAATTTTTTCCCGAACTTCTCGTTTCTTCCGTTCTTCCTCCTCCTTCTTCGCTGCTTCCTCCTTCGCCTTCTCTTCAATAGATAACTTAAAAAACGATGCCATAGCCCCGATCGACTCTTCCAACTCTTTACTTAACGTCACCACCGGCGCTGAACCTGGCCCCATTGTTTGAGTCGTGTTTTGGCCATTACCTCCTCCAACAGTTCCATTTCCTCCCCCTCCACCTCCTCCTCCTCCTCCTCCTCCTCCTCCTCCTTGAGTGTAATTCCTGCCTTGGAAATTTCCACCTTGGAAGGTCCCCCCCGGGGGGTACCCATTCCCTTGCCGAGGCATCGGGCACTCCCTTGAGTAGTGCCCGAACTGATTGCAGTTGTAGCTTCGAACTTGATTCCTCGGTCTTCCCCCTCCTCCGTTCCAACCCCCATTATTCCATCCTCCATTGTTCCAACCTCCATTGTTCCAATGTCCCGGCGGTCCATTATTCCATCCCCCTCCCCCTCCAGGGTTCCCGCCTCCTCCATTATTCCCCCACCCCGACTGTGGCGGTCCCCAATTTCCACCACCTCCTCCTCGTCCCCCGTTCCATCCTTGCTGTCCCCCATTCCATCCTTGGCCTCCAGGCCCTTGATTACCTCCATTATTACCCTGTCCATTAGAGTCCATATATTTTTCGCCGTTCTCCGTTGATAAGTTAGCCTCCTTTAGTCGTCCTACAGCCGCATCCGAGAATTACTCTCGGACCAGCCTCGTAACTTCTCCTTCTTCTAGCTCCGCTGTCACCACCGTCGAGTAACTCCCTCAGCAGGTTACAGCGTCCTTGTTCAGAGGAACAAGAGAGAGTGAACGCAAGGCGTCACAGCGACCGAGAGCACACCACACTTCACATGCAAGCATCAGAGCGTAGACGTTTCAGCGGCCAAAAGCCCGGGAAAATAGGGTGACCCGGCGGCCCGGCTGGTTGCCTAGCTCCGTACCTTGTTATAGTACTCAGTCCACAGTAGTCCCTGTCGTTCCGTGTTACCCTGCAGTCGAGGAGCATTCTCCATGCCTTCTTGCATTTTTGGCAAACTTTGCCATGGATGATGCAAGCTCGTTTTTTTTTTTTTTTTTTTTTTTTTGNGCTATAGTGAATGTGCACTTAACTGTGATGGTGAACGCCCCACAATCGTCATGGTCTGCAACCGGCATGCCCTCTGTCGTGCATGCTTCAGAGGTATGGTTAATGCTAGCCGCCCTGGCTCCTGGTGACGAAGTTGCTTACCTGAATGGTTTTCGTCCTATGGATCAGCGGGAGGGATGCTACCATCGCCCACATCCTTATGACAGTTGTCCTATTTGTCGTGAGGGTCTTACTTAGACGTACTTTGCACCTTGACAAAAATGTGCAGGTGCGCTGAAAAAACTGTATAAGAATGTGCAAAAGTGGGAAACCCTTCACTAGAGATGCAAAACAGTGAAGAATATTGCAGTAAAAGAAGAATATAAGTCTGTGTCATTTGACTTTGTTTGTACCCAGCACCCAAACACCCTAAAAAGAAAAGTCAAAAGGGTGAAAATGATATTGTAAAATGAAGAAGGAAGTGCAGGTGCGCTGAAAACCGAACGTGGAAGACTCTTCACAAAAACTGCAAGAAAGAAGAATGCAGTAAAAGAAAGAAGATGTTTGTGTCAACGTTTTTTATTTTTATTTTTGTTTTTTCTCCCTCTGTCTGCTGGTTACCCTGTCTGCTCCTCTCTTCCTTGTGTTTAACACCACTTCCTTCACTCTGCCTCTTTCCCATAGCGTGCAAGTGGGCTGTTATGGCATACGGGGATGGGGGCAACTCGTGCTCAACTTCATCAACGTGGCGAGCCTTGTACGTTAGATACACGGTGGAGGAGGCGTTAAGAAGACTGAGAAACTGAATGATTTCAATGTGCTTTTGTTTTTGATTTTTATTCTTTCTTCAATATACAGTGAAACGAATAATAAGAGGGCATTGTTCTGTGTCATTCTGGTTTGTCTATCTCTTTGCATGTCTATCCTTTCATTTTCCTTTCTTTGCTCATCTTATTTATCCTTCTACTTCACGTGCTTGTGGTCTTAGTGAATAGTTTTGTGACAATATATATATATAGAGAGAGAGAGCGAGAGATACGGGCGTGTTGATAAAAAAAATCTCTACACGCCTATGATTTTTAATAATTTTTTGTGATATCTACTGGAAGGGGAAAAAAAAAAAAGAAAAAAAAAAAAAAAAAAAAAAAAAAAAAAAAAAAAAAAAAGCTGTCTCTCTTAGACGAGAGAGAAAAAAAAGACAAACAACAACCCATCAGTTTCTCATCCTTTAATTGGCGTACATGTGCTTTTCACGGGGACCACATTGTGTTTATGACAGTTTATCATGACATTGTGTATTTCTTTCTTTTGATGCCAATCTATCGGCCTGGCTCCACTACTACTCTCCACATGCACCAAAGGCAAAAAATATGGGGGTGTATCTCTTTCCTTGCTCTAGCCGAAGATTCATTCTCCTTTTGCACATTTGGAGAGTACTGGAGTGAGGCCCTATCTTTCAAGTGAAATAAGAGAGTGTGCTGTCATGGACTCATGGACGCGTTAATTGGCGTCGCTGCACTACTCTCTACATGCACAAAAGACAAAAATCATGGCCGTGTATCTTTCTCGTTTTGCACATTTCGAGAGTAGTGGAGCGAGGCCTAATATCTGTGGAATCTTGATCATCTGTCCTCATACTAAGGGCCTGGCTCCGCTACTCTCGACATCATGCACAAAAGACAAAAATCATGGCCGTGTATCTTTCCATGTTCTAGTAGCGGAGTATTCTCTCTCGTTTTGTACATTTGGAGAGTCGTGGAGCGAGCCCCCAAGGCTGCTGCTTGCTGACCAGTTCCTCCTTCAGCTTCTACTATCCCTCTCATGGCAACACGAGAGTTCAATCACTTCGCTCTATGCTGGAAGCGCCTTAGAGTTGGAAGTTCCAAATTCATTGGTCAATCAGCAGGCTCGCCATAGTTTGAAAAAACAAAAAAAGACGGGGAAAGGCATACACCCGAGTGTAAGAGAAGTGACGTAGACGTCGTAGAGCGAGCTGAGTTGGCATGTTGAAGAGTTGGGATCCCAGTCGCAGCAGCGATCCTTCCGGCATGGGAAAGCAATCTACTGCTGGGATCCCATCCCATCTCAATGATCTCATCCTGAAAGTGCGACCACCTCTGTGACGAGCGGCACTTGCTGTTAGCCTGTTACGGTCTTCCACAGATAGAACGTGCGGTCATTAAAGCTGTATTTGGCACACCTTTCTGTCCAGATGCAGCGAAAATGAAGCCGTATTTCGCGCACCTTTCTGTCCAGATGCAGCGAAAATGACCGTACATTCTGTTCGGGGGAAGAAGGTAGGGATAGTTCTTTTCATGGGACACTCAGAGTCTGCTCGGGGCCAAGTCCCACTAGAAGCCTTGATTTTCCCTCGACGGCTGAACCTGGACGTGTTTGTGGAGATGTGCGGTTCAGGAACCAAACTCCACGCACTCGTCTGTGGCCTTTCTCCTTCCATTCATTCACTTCACATTCACAAACCTTAAGTCCAATTGCAGACGTTGCCTATTTGAAATTTTGAATTGAATTTATGGCCCACTAGAAATCGCCCTGGCGCAGTCGATCGTTCTTAGTCTGACAGGGGTAGTCAGGATTCCGTGAGTTTCGTCGTCGCCTAAGCTGTTCCCTTTCCCAATACGTCCGATACTCTGAGTTCCTTAGGATCTCGCAGTCGGTGAGCCAGAATGGAGTTTCCACCGCCATATCCTACTCAGTGGACGGTGATTACATTCATTTCCTGACGAAGCGATATCGCAACCGGGCTTACGCAGACGCGCGTGTATGTTGCAGACTCCGCTGCCGGACTCGCTGTTATACACGGGCGCCTGCGTAGGCAGACTGCTCAGATCCTATCTTGTCGCGCGGATAAGTCAGGGGTAGTCGCTTCTGTCCGTGCGTCGGTCTATCCCGTATGCATGCAATTATCCTTCTCATGCAACCATCATCATTCCAAGTGAGATCCGATCATTACATACATGCCCATACCATCATGCCGCAAAGAAGCGATTGTCCAACATTAAGGACCAATACATCAGATCATTCCTGTAATCATGCATGAACTAAGAGCAAGTGGTCAGGCAAGGTATGCGCACCGGGCGTCACGATATCCGGCCCGATCCGGGGGAACCGAAACCTCGCGGATCGCTGTGCACGCAGCGCAGATGGCTACTAGAAAACGACAAAATTTCAATTAAGCTAATGCTATTGAATAGAACAAAATTGGAAATCGGAAACAACTCGAGAAAGGAGACACGAGTTCGTTCATCAGCATGCATACATACATACAAAACTGAAAATCCGAGATGATTGACAAAGAAATATGAAACTGCCGCAACAAAATTGGCCAACATTGGAGTCAAAATTTCAAAGAAGGTGGGAAGAAAGGCATTGTTTCACCATATCCCCGTCTCTCTCTCTCTCTCTCTCTCTCTCTCTCTCTCTCTCTCTCTCTCTCTCTCTCTCTCTCTCTCTCTCTCTCTCTCTCTCTCTCTCTCTCTCTGTGTGTGTGTGTGTAGACCCCCGTACGAATACGGGCCGTATGTACGTACGTGAGACCGTACGTACGGGCTCATGTGGTCGTACGGGCCGTACGTACGGACAAAAAGCAACAAAAAAAAACTCAAAAAAATCTGAAAAAAAAAAATGTTATGCAGAAAAATAAACTGAAACACTTTTGCCTCAGGGTCATATTGAAATTCGTTACCAACTTTGAGATTAAAAAAAAAAGCGTTTTTTTTTTTTTTTTTTTTTTTTTTTTTTTTTTTGTTTTTGTTTTTGTTTTTGTTTTTGTTTTTGTACGGGGCTGTACGTACGGCCGTAGGGTCGTTCATACGGCCGTACGTACGACCGTACGATAAACCCCCCGTACGTCATACGGAGTGTTACACAGCTCTCTCTCTCTCTCTCTCTCTCTCTCTCTCTCTCTCTCTCTCTCTCTCTCTCTCTCTCTCTCTCTCCTTCAAAAATTCCAAAGGAATTCCCCGCGCAATTGCTGCGCCAAAAGGACGGACTTCTGCCAAAAAAGAAAGAAAAGAAAGAAATAGGACATAGCAGACATTGTTCCCCTGCGCTCACTAAGGCGCGGGCCAACTTCCCCGAAGTTCCTAACCACCGCCTCCATTCTGTCAACGGACCACGAAGAAAACCAAGAACGAGGGACTATCGTGCAATGTATCCCCGACCCCCTCTATGTACCCCCCCAATCCCAGTTGCGCAGAAGATGGCGCTTATCAGAAAAGAGCTCGTCACACGGTTGCTCTGGGGCATGAGGTTGCGCATCACACCTGTGCTACCAACCAGATCGCCCGTCGAGATATAGACATGAGCACCTTATCATTACACCATGGTTGTGGCCAGATAGCCACACTCCTGCTCTTCTGCTGCTTCACTGTCAGGAAATTCATTGAGAGAACGTGAGACTCATGCCCTCTCACCCCCCCCTGGAAAAAAAGAAAAAAAAAAAGAAAAAAGTATGCCTCTAGTAAACTGTTTGTCTGGAAGCATTGGAGGAGAGGTCCTTTGTCATAGTACTTCGTCCTACAGTGTTCCCCCGAATACAACATACAGTCATTATAGCTGAATTTAGACTCAAAGATGGTCCAAATTCAGCTATAAT